ACCAGTGTTTGCCTCCTTAAAGTTATAATCCTCCTCAAGAAACAGATATGATAATTACGCTTATTTGCTTGCTTGCTGAGCGTGAGAGAATCGAAACCACTCTCATGCCTTTATGTTTGTTACTGAGCTAGAGCAAGGAGGCCATCAGCTTAACTTAGTATAAAGACTGGAAGCAAGGGGAAACAGCTAGCCTGAAAAAATATGCCCGACCGCTGTTTGTAGAGACATAGTTACAGCACATAACAACTTATAAAACCACAGCCTGTCACTTTTGTTTGTGGGAGGATTTACCAAATGAGATACAACATGTCGAGCTTTAGAGGTGTTGTTCAGCGTTTTTGTTTTTTTTTCTTCTCATTTAACTCAGTCCTTGTTGATGTGGCAAAACAGGGCGCAGAAAACATGCCTAGAGCAATGACTCTGTCAGAAATGCAACAAAGAAAATTGACACTTTAAATATATATATATATATATATATATATATATATATATATATATATATATATATATATATATATATATATATATATATATATATATATATATATATATATATATATATATATATATATATATATATATATATATATATATATATATATATATATATATATATATATATATATATATATATATATATATATATATATATAACTTTTTCAAGGAGTAATAGGTAACTAATTAAAATTTGTGAGTAACTTGCCCAATACCGTCCATCACACCAAACACCATTTATTTTGGCTATTTATGGCTTTATTTTTTGTCAGTGTTACTTCACAACAATAAAGGTTAGAGTACCATCCAGACAAGTGGGCAACTGCCCCCAGGGCTCCGGACCCACAGTCCACCTGAAGGCACCAGGTTGACCATGTGGTATTTAGCTTTTGGTAATTTGATGAATTACAAATATGCTTGTTAATACTGTATGGACCACTAAAGCACATTATTAACTAACCTGGGGCTCTGAGTTAAAATCTATGACATTTCAGTTTCAGTTGTGCTTGCTCGGTGCATTTCACTAAATAAATCTGTCTTAATATAAAAACAGTGTACACGGAGTGGGAGAAACGGCACATTTTTTTACAATAATGTAATTTTGATAAAAATGAATGCAGACTTGTTGTTTTCTGTGATGGATTACAGCAGCAAGTGATGGATTACTTCATTAAGAGGGAAAACTTAAAAGTACATTCATTCATAAAATAGAGAAACCGATTGATGCCTGAACAAAATACATCCAACGTTTTAAAACATAGCCCCATGTTTTGATTTAAGTCATGTGTAATAAATAATCTACAACATAGAAAACCACAGGGACGGTCCTTTAAACTGTCATGCTCGCACAGTTTAGTCGTCTGCGGCACGGAAGTCATCTTTTGCAGAAACTGTCACCACAGCAACTCTTAAAATAATGTCAGTGAGGTTTGGCCGGCCCCTTGGGCACTCACTTCATTCTCCACTAATAATAGATCCAGCTGCTCATCCCAGTGTATTGTCCCATGCCCAAAATCACAAAGAAGAGAGTAGCAAAGTGATGGAGGGATTGACACACCTGCTAATCTGTCTCCGAGTCAGCTCTGTGTCCCCGCGGGGCCAAGCATCTGACATTTAATCACTATAGCCATAAACAGGCCACTGGAATGCCATTGACATTCATTTTGCTTGGCACAGTTTTGTCACGGGGTGGATTTGTCTCTGCAACTCTGCTCCGTGTCGGTTTAAACCCCGGACTGGATACTTTTTTGAGTCCCACATTGCAGTAAGGAACAGGTGTCAAAGATAAAATCAAAAAGGGAAAACCTGAATAAATGAATGGTGAAACATAAAAAATGCAGTTATTAATGATAATAATATAATAAATGTATATAGTATATAAAAAGTTACAAGTGTTTTACTATTCTTTGGCAACCGGCAGCGCTTGTAGAAGCAGCAGCTGGTAGCTCCTTCAAACTTGTCTCTGTCTTTATTGCTGAAATGTGTAACTGGAAAAGGATGATGGGGTTTTTGGAATAAAAATCAGGTACCATGGCAGGTGTGGTGATCACTCAGAGGAGAGGAAAGAGAGCCGGGATAGGAGTCGTGTTGGCCCAGCTTTAACTTAAGGCTGCTCCTAAAGGTCCAGTCTGGACAAAAAGGCACTTATATTGGCCAAACAAAGGAAATGAGAAACTCTTGTTCCCACATCTATACAGAGACCTGGCCCATCAACATCCTGGATCAAGTACTCGGCAAGCCGTGTTTCCAAGACTTTGACAAGATGAGAGGAGGTGAACTATGTGTTTTACATCAATGATGGTTGGTGCTTAAACAACGCTTTTTTTACGTGAAAATTAAGCCATATTATCATCTTGTTGCTGATTTTTACATTCGCAAATTCAAGAAATGCCCTGTGGAATGTTCTTGGTGTAAACGTGTGTGTATCTACAAGGTTGTTTATTTGTCATTATACAGCACAAGGCTGCATAACAAAACAAAATTTGTAGTTCCTTCGTGCTACACACACAACATATAGCCTAATTAAGTGTAGGCATATATTAAAATATGGTAACATTCATCCATCGTCAACCGCTTATCCTGCGTATAGGGTTGTGGGGGGGCTGGAGCCAATCCCAGCTGACATCGGGCGCAAGGCGGGGTACACCCTGGACAGGTCGCCAGTCCATCGCAGGGCCACACATAGACAAACAACCACTCACGCTCACACCTAAGGACAATTTAGGATCACAAATCAACCTAGTCCGCATGTCTTTGGATGGTGGGAGGAAGCCGGAGCACCCGGAGAGAACCCACCCGGACAGAACTTGCAAACTCCACACAAAAAAAACCCTGAAACGACCAAGGTTCGAACCCCCGACCTTCTTGCTGTGAGGTGACAGTGCTAACCACTGCAGCACCGTGCCGCCCAAATATGGTAACATATGAAACAAAACAATATATACAGTTATTTATCTAGCCTACATATAGGCTATACATGTATGCATTATACCCCCCCCCCCTTAATTTGTCACCCATCTGAGTGTTTTGTACTCCCCCCAATGGGTGGAGACAAGATTTATGATAACATGGGCTTTTCTGATGAAACATAGTAATCAGTTTCTTCATGTTGTTCATTATTTACCTGTTTGATGTAAGAACAAAAGGGCGTGTACAGTGGTTTATAACTTAATCACAGACTCTGCGAATCTTACCAAACAAACCACCCCCAAGCTCAGCTCTTCCTCAAAGCTCCATCTCCAGCATACCATAGTGTCGAACCACCACTTCATCCATAATATTAAACACTGCTGACTCTGTGTGTGGAGCATGTGTGATGTTATTGGTGTCACAGATCTCATCAGAACCATGCTGAGTCTGGGTTGTTCGTCTGCTGTTTACCTATTCATTAATTCAGCCATGAGTGATGGCCCCTGAAAACCGGAGCTCTCCATCGTCTGGTAATTAAATGTATTTTGGTGAGACATTTTTCTCCTGGAAATCATTTTAAAAACTGACACACACACACACACACACACACACACACACACACACACACACACACACACACACACACACACACACACTCTGAGAAGCTGCCTGTGGGCGTCTCGGGCTAGCGTTGGTAATTAGCGTGCTGAGTGGTTGCACTGATTGCTTCATTATTTCTCCGCATCTGTGAGAGATATTTGATGGATGTTGCATGTTTGACAGTAATCCATGCTAAAGCTCCTTATGTGAACATCATACTCTTCAAACTTTAAGATTACCTCACACCTATAGGAACATCATGATTTACTAAATGCAGGTTTTGATGTTGCATTGCTCAGAGGAGGTCACACCCTGATCTATTTTGATCCTCTTACATCAGACTTGCTCAATGCAATACCAAAGCTGAACCATAATGCCAGTTACTCAATATAAACACATTGTGTGCTCCCATTCAGGAGTGTTAGAGTAATGAAAGAGAGGTTTCTACATCAGCAGAGATCAGATCCCCCTCAGTTTCATAGACTGATTCAGAATAATTGCCTTGTTTTGCTCGTTGTGAGCAGGACAGCAATTATCAACGGTGTAGTCCAGTTTCACAGAAGAATTATTTTTGCATGCTACAAGTTATTAATGGCTGTTTGTCAGTGAAGGTATAAGTCTTTAACAACAGTGATTAATGAATATCTCTGAAACCAGAATTGTTACCATGGTGGTCGATATTTCGGAAGGGCCTCAAAGTTTTGAGAGAAACAGTAAACACCATGCAGCCGATTGCTTTGAATTCAGTGCTGAAATGATTCATGTATTGTGTGTCAGAAAATTCAAAGACAACAATTTTATTATCATTTGTCATTTTTAGCCACACTAGCAACATTCCTTGTATGTATGGAGTGGTTACAAGCTGCTAACTAGCATGCTAAGTTAATTAAACTAAGATGGTGAACGCGGTAAACATTACACCTGCTAAACAGCATGTTAGCGTTGTCATTGTGACCATGTTAGCATGCTGACGTTAGCCACACATAGTCGGTTGTTGACTCTTAAAATGCTAAACATTTCATGGATCCAGCGTCTCAAATGTGAACACTGCTGCTTTCTCTTTCTCTTTTATATGGATTTCTTTGGTTTTTGGACCGTTGGGCAGACAAAACAAGCAATTTGAAGACACGATCTTGTGTTTATGGTGATGGCTGATTTTCTAAATTTAATAATCCAATAATAATGAAATTACTAAATTATTATTAAATGATGATTATTACTTATTAAATGAATAAACTGAGCACGAAAGATCGACAGTATGCAGGATGTTTTCATTCTTTCAGAGATTTTTTTTGTTTGTTTCATATTTTGTCCTTCCAGTCTTGAGCAACTGGGCTTCTCGTCCATGAGTACATTCTCAAGTTTTAGGCCAGTTGTCCTTGTCATGTTTTTGTAGAGTGTATCTGCCTTCGTCTGTCAGCCTGAATCACACAGAGAAGGCCTAATTGATGCGATGTGTGTGTGTGTGTGTGTGTGTGTGTGTGTGTATGAGCCAGACACACTCTCAGGACAAGCAGCTCTTGGATTTAATCCGTCTCACTAATAGTGGGGGATGGAGCAGAGGGGGAGGAGGAGGAGAGAGGAGAGAGGAGAACAATACAACAGTATCTCTCTCTCCATCTCCGGACACGTGGTCGCCCGGCGGGAAATCTTTGGACCTTGAACATTCTCTACGGATGTTTCTTCTCTCGTTCTCTCCTTCCAGCTGGCTCTCAGCGGTCTCTGTTGCGCAAATTAAGGAAACGAGGTACAATACACTCCCCCACACCAAAACACATCCCTCCCCACTGCTTTTTGTTCCTGCCATTGTCACCAGACAAGAAGCTGCGTCAAGAGGTAAAATTAGGGGTGTGTGTAAAGAGTGAGAAACTTCCTTGACTCTCTGAGGTGTGTGCTTTACTGTTTCTGCAGAAGGTATGTTTGCTGTCGATGAACAGAGACAGGAAGTGTAGAGACACAGTGTAGACAATATGTACTGTATTTCCTCCTTTGCAATGTAAATTCTTTTGTACAGGATTGCTGTGTCTACCACATTCCTGAATGCATCAAGGGCCTTGTTTCCTGTCCAGCTCCGGACATAGCTCCTGTATGTTTCATAGATACTCTCAATAAGATTATTAGCTCATACTATAGTGCGTGTCTACAGGGAAGAGTAAATTTCACTTCCTATTGTCGCATTTTTGTTCCCTTACCTCTTGAAATGCATGGAACAGTATTGTTCTGAAACAATAGGATTTCCTAAGTTAGTTATTTCCTTTTATAGTGACCTCATTTTCTTTAGTTTTTGTGTCTCAGTCGTAAACGATTATAGTATTTTATTTCCCAACATATTGGGGTTGTTTAAAGACCAGCAAAGTCTACTTAGACTACTTGTCAGAGGTTGCATACATTTATTAGTTGTTGTTCAACCAAAAAGTGATGTTCTCTTCTCACATTGTTTAATTTGAAATGTTTTTATAGGCACGAAGAGGTAAAACTATAATGTTTTGATCTTAGAAGTTCATTCTTGGCCTCGGGATCAATATTTTGATAAAAGTAATCTTAAAACTCACTAGCTTTTTTGGCTCATGTCACAGTTCTCATCAGCAATGAAGCCAGCAAACTGATCTTATATAATAATAAATATTTGGTCAAATATCCAGTATTTTACAATTAAAAAATAACAACAATTAGAGAAGTCTGAATGTTTTTTTTGTTTGTTTTTTTTGTCCAATCTTGTAAATCATCCCACAACTGACAGGGGGTCTGATCCCCTGGTTGGGAACTGTTCTTCTATTAGTCTTTTACATTTCTCAGCATTTTTAGTGATAATGAGAACGTGAGGCCCATCAGCCCAGAGTTTGTTTTTGCCATCAACACTCAGCATGTTGAAATAAGCACTTTGTCCCACCCTGTTACAGCTGTTATGTTGATATGAAGGGATTAAGCTTGTTTATTGTATTATGCCATCTATGTTTGTGGCAACTCCGGGCGTCATACTTTGCATTAAGTAAAACGTGCAAGAGTAGGGCTTGGCTCACGCCCAGAGGGTTCAACCCTTATTTTGTCATCTTGCGCCACTAAATTTTTCATCTCTCACCCTCAAGGCAAATAAAATTGCTTTCATGTTCGTTCATGATACTTTGTTAGATGACATGAATCTTTTAGACATCCAACTCAACAGTGCACTGCATCCTTCTTTCATATGTGAATATCCATCGTTTCATCAGAGCCTGGATGTCTGGACAGTGCAGTTAACCTTTATTAATGTATGAGTCACCATCTCTTCTGAGGCCAGTGGACAAGTCTTAACCACTAACCCTCCTCCCCTCAGAAACTGCTTCACATAGGGGACTTCTAGTGAGAGGCATTTTGACAAATGGTCCTTCTCAGTGTAATGTTGCAGCAGTTGTGCTGCAGTGCACTAATAGTGCTTCACCTCTCACTGGGCCAAAAGTTGTGACTCAGTGTATCAAAACCTGTGCTTGTGCTCTTGCGCTCTGTGATAAAGTAACGCTGGCTTTCTTTTACGATTCACCTGCTTGATATAAGAGGGTAAGGTGCGTTCAGGGAGGCCTTGTTAACTGTGATGCCCGCTGGGAGGCTGGAGGATAGATGGTGGCTGACAGCACCCTTGGCGTTGCAGTGCTACTGCTGTGTCATGCTATTTTGCCGTGTTGTTGGCTTGTCTGTTTGTCTCAATTTAAAACCTGTGTCTGCTTTTATTGAATATCTGGAGCTAAAAATACCTTCAGCCTCACCAATCAGAGCAGGGTACAGATTGAACAGTGAGATATGATTGGATGGATTGTCCCACAGAGGTTGCTAACCGTTTTCCCAACCTTGACAAATATAAAAGAGTAATCTAAAACGGGATGAAAATCTTATTTGTGAATCAAAATCAGAATTTAAAGTTGCACCAGACAAAGTCACGCTTTAGTATCAGTTTTATCTTATAGATTCTTATTTTAATGATGAATTCTTCATTCAGGGATCAGTTTTTCATATTTCTTCCTCTTTGTAGCTGGTGGAGATGGAAGGATGCACTAAATCGTCCATTTTGTTTCATTCTATGATGAAATTATTTTACAAATCTGACAAATTTGAAAATGATTTGGTCAAAATAAGGCAAATGTGCAGTGTGTTATTCAGGGAGGTGGCTCTTCTCTCCTACAGTTCCAATCTGTGATTTTTAAAAGTGAATGTGTATTCACAGCTGAATTTCCCCTGGTGCAGTTTGAATAAATCCATATTAATGCACCACTCGGATGTTAGACCGAAATTCAACAAATTACTCATTCAGCTTTTGAAAAAACACACAAAATAAATAAATGTAATCTGACTCATGCTTAGCATTTTGTAAAGCGCCACTTCTCCAGCTGAGTCATCTCACTCATGCTCTCAAACCATGTCAGCTCGCCCTGAAGGGCACTTTGGCCCCCAGCAGGTCGGCCATCACCTTCGTTGGCAGAAAGTGAGGCGTGACAGGGGTTCGACCTTTACCAGACCGGCTGTCAGATAGAGGACACCCACGTCACCGGCTTTACAGTATATATGATGTAGTGCTAACCTCCTCCTGTACATACTAACAGATATATCTCCCAATTAAAATTTTTAGACGTGATATGTGTTAGCTGTGTTAAAAGTAATACCCTAAAGTGTATTACTTATGCTTAAAAATTCTTTGAATGAATGTAGCAGGTAGGTAGAGCGGGGCAGGTGTGTCCTCAGATAAAGTTTTTATCCAATTGTTGTCAGAGTGGCTTCCCAGGGATTTTCAGGTAACAACAGGAGAAAGGGGACCCTTTCATAGATTGACCCTCTCATTCTACTGTGCAATCAGTTTTCTGTAATGCACATGACCTTTTCTTAAGATTTTGTTGTCAATCTTCTGTAGTTCTTTATTAGTCAGAATTATTTCCAATGCTCAAGTAAGGCTTACATGCATTTTGACAGTTTCTCTATTAAAAAAAACATCCCTCTTCAGTCATAATGGTAGCTTGCCTTTTTCTTTTGTGAGCTGACATTTGCATGATGGATGAATGTAGCACACTGTATCCTAATTCTTACTTTAAGTTTGTTCACATTGGAGAAATGGCAAATGAAAGTAAATTTTCTAATGCTTTAGTGATGTGTAGGATGCATACAGTGGGTTTTTAGAGCTTTCTCAATGAAAACAGCTGCCTGTTGATTAGATTGGTAATAGTGAACAAACAAGCTGAGGGTCACAGAATCAAAACAACCAGCTGAAAGACGCTAAAATGGTAAATACAAGAATTTTTGATAAAAACAAATTTATTTGGTGTTGATGCAGTGTACGATGCAATGAAGATGGAGGTGGTACACTTGTAAAAAGTGAAATAATGTAAGGCAGCAGTGCAATGGCTCTAGTGAAAAACAAAAAAATATAAATTGATGATACTGATCTGAAATCATAGCTACATCCTTCTGTGCTTGCTTTATATTTCCTACAAAACAATACAGTAGAATCAGTATCTTGTATGCTGACTGCCAAAGTATTAGTCAGTGCAAACTGACTAAAATATGCACACAGCTATAATAAAGCTTGACATTTCCTGTTTACTTGTTTGTTGGAGTTCTTTAAATTATTATTTATTATATATTAAATTCCCCATTTGCCAGCTTCTAGACTCTTGCAGCTTTAAAATGGTTCAAGGGACTCGTGCATGAAGACCAAGCCTGAAGTGAAGATGCAAGAAGGGGAAGAAGATGCTTATTCGGATGAAAGCATGACATGACATTAAGGAGAGGAGCAAAGAGAGATAGGAGATGAAGGAGAAGGAAGGCCCTGCAGCTCAGGGCTTTTCTACAACATCCAACTCTGTGTTAGAGCCGCTGCTGGAGATCCCTTTACAGAGCGGTAACAGTCTCTCCTTCTGACGTCTCCCGGCTTCAGGGAGTTAGACAGCCATGCACTTATGCAAAGTTAGTCTATCATGCCCAGCCTGCCAAGGATACATGCCTGGAGAACACACAGGAATGAAAGTTATCACCGAACAGACACTCAACAATCCGGCTGTCTCAGCCTCTGGGAAGCGAAATTGAGAGCTGTAGTCACAACCACATTAGTTGAGTCTAAATCAATTCTGAAAAAAAGTGTTTCCAAAAGGAAAAATAGTGCTTTTGAAGTTGAAGAAAGAAGTAGAGTCTATAGAGACATATGTATCCGCCAGTGATAAAATCATTGATGGATGAGGTCAAATACTTCATCAAAGGTCTCTCTGCCCATTTTCCTGGTGTAAATTTAGATCTTTGACAGCCATTACGTGGAGGATTATGTGCTTGTTATCAGTTACTGTGGCCTCATTGAGCGGTGCTGGTCTGATAATCAATGTGGCAAAGCTAGGAAGGCAGACTTTACATATCAATCCATCTGACAGCTTGCAGCCGCACCGTGAGATGTAACGGTCTGAGATTTGGCTGTGAGACAGAAGTCAAAGATGACGCTTTGATCAAATGTTTTTCCCTGGGTGTTTTAGATCTGAAAGAGAAAAAGAGCAAAGAAAGGCTTGCTTTCATTTTAGCAAACAGATTCTTTTTAGGCAGCCTAGCTCCATATGCAGTCTAATTATTCATTTAAAGGCTGCTGATCAGAAACCTTGTATTCATCCTGCCTTTTGACCTGTTCTGTCTCCCGTCCTGTTTTCTTGGTGAACAAAACTAGAAGCTGTGCTTTGTCCAGACTGTACCTCATTTCACTTCATTAGTATAGAATCACAAAACAGGAAATATCCCCCTGTGAAAACA